TGCCAGGGCTGCCCATGTGGGGACTCAGGCAGACATGATGGGATGGGTGCTGGTGGCAGCAGCTCTGCCAGGGCTGCCCATGTGGGGACTCAGGCTGCAGCACACTGCTCAGCAGGGGCTTGTGACAGCAAGTGCTTTGCTCATCCAGGGCACAGCTTTGATGATCCTGCCCTGGGAGGAGGCAGAGACACAAAGACCCTGTAGCTGTACCCAGCAGCTCCTCTACTCAGCAAAATCACCTAGGAGCATCATGTGGAGGGCAGGGACCTTATGCTGCAGACATGACATGGGCTGGGAGTGTTATTTGCCCATTTCTGGCTGTAAAATTATTTCCTACTAGGGATTTTGGTCAGGAGCCACATGCTCTTGAATTTTAGCAGGCTCAGTTATGCCTTTGAAGCTTTTTCCTACWTCACTGATGCCAAAGCACCAGCAAATACATGGAAAACAGCAATTATGCTGACTGGACAGTCTGACATAGACATGGTGTCTCTGGCCCAGGCTTCTCTTTGCTTGCAAGACRTGTTTTCTAACAGATCCCAAACCTTCCTGGAGCATTAAAGAGAAATGTGTTTGAACACTGGTGGTGTGTAGAGCAGGATATGAATAACATTGATCATGCTGTGAGAAGATTATTCCCCACACTTCCAAAGAACACACTTTTGCCTCTCAGCAAAAGAAGTAAGATATTAGGAAGAACACTCTGTGGAAGCCTTTTACTCACCAGTTGCAGGTGTCTTAAGATACATGCTTTGGTGCATCAGTTCTAAACAATACACATGGCTGGATTTGGGACTGGATTTTATCCAGGAAAATACATCTTTTTAGTGGACCTCTGATGAAAATGGATCAGTAGGTGGTGAGCGTGAGAGTTCTGGGCAGCTTCTAGAGAAGTTCTTTATAGTCTCCTTAGTTGTTAAGGTTGCTGGGAGTGCTGTGGCTGCCCAGGACATGATGTTGCTGCAGCCTCTGGAACAGAAAATACAGGGTGCTGGTGGGACAGTGGCCACACACCTCTGCACTTCACCTGGAGCAGCTGGGATTGGGAAACAGAGCCAGGTCCAAGTGTAGAGATCCTGCAGGAGCCCCGTGGATCCTGTTGGCAACATTTCTTCAGCTCTGGGGCCATTTACCTACTCAAGGGTAGAGATTGTGGATTTCAAAATAGCTGTTCGTGTAAATGGGAGCAGGTTTGGAGAATAACACATGTCCTCTGTCTCACTCTCTCCCACAACCTTCAGAGGGCCAATAAAGGCAGCAAGGTGATTGAGAGATTAAAAAAGAAGCTCTCGGAGCAGGAATCCCTCCTACTACTGATGTCTCCCAACATGGCCTTCCGGGTGCACAACCGCAATGGCAAGGTGAGAGCACACCCTGACACCCTCAGTGCCCTGGGGTCAGGGGGTTGTGTGTGTGACTGTGTGGCTCCTGCACAGGGAGGGCTTTGTGGCCTCTGCTGAGAAATAAGCACAGAAATGAATCCCCTGTCTCAGCACCAGCGCTGGTAGAGCAATAAAACAGCCCCTCCTCCGAGATGCATCTCTGCAGCAGCTGCCTTCTAGACTGCCCTGTGGCTGCAAGGCTTGGCACACCCAGGGCAGTGTCCTCAGGGCTGTAGCTGCCCCTGCCAGGGTTATTCTCTGCCAGGGTTATCCTCTGCCAGGGGTATTCCTTGCTCTGGCACTGTTGTAACCTGTCACCGTGGCCTTTCCATGCACGTGGCAAAGGAGCCTTACAAGACTGTGTTACTGCTCAGTGTAAATCCATGACCTGGTCACTRCTTGCTGGCTGTCACTGCTTCATCAGTGTCTAGGCCTGTGTTGGAGGCTTTTGGCATTGCTGGTGCAGCTGTTGAGAGGAATRGCACAAGCTGCCATGGGAGCTGGATCAGGGCCCCAGCTGCCCTCGGCAGGGTGGGGCTCTGTGGGCTCTGACTGTGCTGGTACCGTGGGCACATTGCCAGAGCCTGCCTGCCCTGGCAGAGCTGTGATGCAGGACAAATGGCAGCAGTGCCAGCAGGACGGTGTATCCAGCAATTTGCACAGGAGGAGGGGTGGAACAGGCAGGCCCAGCCCTCGGTGGTGCATCAGACTRATGCTGTTTCCTTCTGTGTTCCTGGGTAGAGTTACACATTCCTCATTTCATCGGACTAYGAAAGGGCGGAGTGGAGGGAGAACATCCGGGAGCAGCAGAAGAAATGTGAGTATCCCTCAGCTGTCATTGGTACAAATACTGTGATCTTAAGAGAGCAGGGGTCCAGAGGATGAGATGTGGCACAGGCTTCCCTGCCAAAACAGAGATCTGCATTGAAATCCACAGCACAATATGGATGTCTCCTGTCTGAAGCTGTTTGGGGGACTTCTGCCTGCAGCAATACACAGGGAATTTGTAGGGAGAGCACTTAGTAAGTAAATGTRTGTAGAGATTCTCCCATTTACTCTAGAGGTCAGAGCTCGGTGCAATTCCAGGAAGAGGGAGGAGCCACGCCTTTTTATCTGGTGCCACTCAGAAGAAACTTAGTTACTTTTTTGGCAAGGTGCTTTTGGCTTTGCAAGGAGCTAAGAACATCTCTATTTCTTATGAACCTGCAGTAGCTGTACTGCCCTGAGCACCTCGGTGCTGTTGCTGAGCAGTGCCCAGGGAGCACTGTCCCATGTGTGCCCAGGATGAGGGGTAATGCATCCAGCCTCTCCTTGGAATTTTAACTCTTGCCCTTTCAATCCCCTTGACAGGCTATAAAAGCTTYTCACTCACATCCGTGGAGCTCCAGATGCTGACAAACTCCTGTGTGAAGCTTCAGACTGTCCACAACATTCCTCTCACTATTAATAAGGAAGGTAAGACCTTTGGGGTTTGCTTTCACATGGTGCAACTGCAGTGAAATTCTCCCCCTGCCTGATTTTGTGCTTTCTCCTGGAACTGTTCTTACTCTTCCCTTTTGCTATGGGTTGCWGGCATCCTCCAGTATACATTAATTGACTGTCAAATGGTCCTTGCAGCAGCAAGGTATTGGAGTGCCTGGTGGAGTCCTAGCCTGGCACAGCTTTGAGCTGTGTCTGGGAATCCCTTAAAACAACACTAGATGGCCAAAATTGTGTTAGGGACCACCCTAAATTACTGCTTAATCTGGTAGTGTAGACTGAGCCTCTGTAATTAACTTTTTCTCATTTGAGTTTCTTCCATGCTGTTTTGCTGATCCTAGAACGGTCACTGTAAAAGCCCCCCAGTGCCACTGACAGTGAAGCTGGGACAGTCTCCTGTCTTGCTGAAGTGGCTGTGACGTGCTCCTGCCATCCTTGGGGACAGTTCATCCTGTGCTTATTATCCTGTGTGATATCAGTCTCTTTCACTCTCAGCTCCACTGTAAATGTAATGAAATTCCTTGGGTCTTTTGTACAGATGACGAATCCCCAGGTCTCTATGGATTCCTGAATGTCATTGTCCACTCTGCCACGGGATTCAAGCAAAGCTCAAGTGAGTTGCAGTTCTGTGACACACAAGGGGTACTGATAAGTGTTAGATGAGCCATGTGCTGGGTGTATGTTGCAGCATCTGTGATGATGGTGAGGAGAGTTGTTTCGGGGAGCTGGAAGTTCCTACTCTTAACTCAGAAAGATCACTGTCAAGGATCGTGCACTCAGCACTTAYATTTGGGCCTAGTCTGAGGTTTTAAGCAGTGTTTGCAGATTACCCAGCTGTTCTAGAAACAAGTCAGTCCATATCCTGAATTCTTTCAGCTCTATTTTATTTTACAATGAAAGAATGGAAAACATTCTCTGACATCCAGAATTTTTGTTGTGATGAAAGAGGTGTTAAAATTCAGAGGAATTATTTGATAAAGGATCAAAAAATGTGGTAGAGCTTCTTAAGGACAGCTGGGCTGATCAAGGTGATGAGATTTCTATGGGATGGTATTAGTGATACTAATACAGAGATGATGGAAATGAAGACACCCTGAAAGTGGTTAATGCAGGTTAGGAGATTCTAGATATATTTTTAAAGTTTTTGTCTCTGTCTCCCCTCCTCAGATTTGTACTGCACGTTAGAGGTGGATTCTTTCGGGTATTTTGTGAACAAAGCCAAAACTAGAGTTTACAGAGACACCACGGAGCCCAACTGGAATGAGGTAGGTTTGATTTTTCTTGATGTGACTTGTTCCATGTGCCAAACATCAACCCATCAACCCAGGGCAGAAGATCTGCCAATGGAAGAGCAATTGTGCACATGCTGCCACTCAGAAAACACTTGTCTGCCTGGTTCATTTGACTGTCAGAGCTTGCAGAAGATTTTCTCTTGGATTAGCTATAGTTAAACAATTTGATACAAATAAGTCTTGTCAAGTATTTAATCTTTTAAATAGAAGCATGCTTGATTACTTTTCTAAAGACACAAGTGAAAATATATTGAAGCAGATGGTTTTGTTTATTTGTTGAGAGGGGGAAGAATTAGCTATAGACATTTTGCCTGTTTACAGCCAGCTCAGACCTGCTGGTGAGCAAAATTTTTTACAGGGAAGGTGAGCAAATTTTTGAATTTGCTTTGCTCTTTGAATAATGCTTTGCTGAGACCTGTGAAACCTAAGGAGTGAACCATCTTAGTCTCCAATTTGACCACCTTATAAATACAAAATACAATTTCAGCTTATTTCTAGACCAATTCCAGTAGGGAGGAGGTTTTGGCCAGTCCTTAAGTGCTCTTGTGATGAGTATTGAGGAGTCTATATTGATTATTCTGAGACTGGTGTCCTGTTGTGATGCAGCCATTGCTCTTTCCTTTCYTGGTGCCCTGCAGGAGTTTGAGATTGAGCTGGAGGGCTCACAGACACTGCGCATTCTGTGCTATGAAAAGTGCTACAACAAAACCAAGCTCACCAAAGAGGATGGAGAGAGCACAGATCGCATAATGGGGAAAGGACAGATCCAGGTAAGACTGTGCTGAACTCCTGATACTCTTACTGCAAAATATCACAGGACTTTTGAATCCTGGAGCTCACTGCAGAGGTTTTTTTTTTTTGCCTTCTGATTGTCTCAGCACTGCAGATTTTCCTCCAGATAGTGGGGTACGCAGTGTGATTCACAAGCAGGAAATCAGGAGCTTTKTCCCTCTTGCTTTGTGCCCTATGCCTGCTTCAGCACCCTTGTGGAATAGCTGCTTGTTTYGGTCTCTCATTTGCCCATTAACTTSAAAACTTCCAGAGCAGTGTATAGGAACTGCACTGCCCTGGGCCTTGGGCCGTGTTGAGGATGTTCCATTTGTGACAGAAGGATGCAAGARTATTCTCTCCCCTCTGAAAGTCATGTGCAGAAAGGCTGCCAYGTGTATGTGCTGGAAGTTGATGGCTGTGCTGGCCAGGCCCTGGAACAGGCTGATTGTCCTGGTGACTGCTGTGTCCAGAGTGCGGTGTCCATGATAGCAGACAGCATCTGAGGAACAGTTCTACTGCTGAGAACYGGCCTGGGACACTTTGTGTGGCAGATTTGTAATTCAGTAGGGCAGGTGATGATTGCAAAGGGCTGCTGCTATTGGGGGGCTCCTGTGTGATAGAGCACTAAAGCTGGAGGTGGAGAAATCAGCCCATCTGTGGAGGACAACACGGGGAACATACATGCCCCATCTTGATCCAATTCATTGCACTGTCTGTCCACAACTTTAGGAGGGTGTTTAAATGCCTGCACTGAGGACACAATCTTTGTGTTGGACTGGCTGTTGAACAGAACAGAGACCCTGCCCAGATACCTTTTCCTGTCTGACATGTTGAAAGATCTCACMAGTTCCCTCCCCTCCATTCACATCTGGCTGTCCATCTCCCTGTGGGAGAGCTTTCCCTGGCACTGGAGCAATGCAGGTCAAATCCATTTGTGGGATTGCAGAAGCAGTTTAGGGTGAGGGTGGCCTGTGGGRTCACATCCCACTTTGCTCTGGCAGGGTTCATTACTGAAATGACTTTGACCAGGCTTCTTCTTTCCCTCTCTCCTGTTTTCTGGGACAGCTTTTGTCTCAGTGCATGATGGGATTTGGAAGGGAACTCGCRTGCAGATCAATAAATGCCAGCACAGGGTATCTCCTGTGTGTGTGTCTCAGCTGACCAGAAATCCCCATGTCCCTTCTGCTAACAAAGGCYATTTTCCACAGAGCTGAGCAACTACAAAAGAGCGAGTCTTCAGTGCTGAAATGCCCTGGAGATTTGTGTGCTCATGACAGAGAACCCAGAAATCACTGACGCGCTAAATTCTACAAATATTTTATATAGAATGATCAAGAAAAAACGAATAAAACCTTTCCGATTTTTAGCAATCTTTTTTTTCACAGGAGTGGGCATTTTTGTGCACAGCAGTTGTATATTCTGCAAATATATTTTATACTTAAGTTAGTAAGTAGAAATACTCTTTGGTTACAATTGAATATTAATTGCATCTTGATTGTTTTAGAGAAATCAAAACAGTGGGAAGGTTAAATAAAGCAATAAAGTCAATTAAAGTGTTTTTAATTAATGTGCAAAAGTTGCAATCTGTTGTGCCATAAAAGGCATATGCAAAAGCTCTCTTGCTTTCTGTAAATCCCCTTTGCAATTTATAAAGAAACTTGATGAACTGCCAGAATAACCTCTTAATTCTCAGTGATTTCTGTCCGTTATCAATTTGGATTGATAAAATTTATTAAAGGTTTTGATTTTGATTTAGTTCTATTTTTGAAGTAAACACCGTTTCTGTATTCAGAAACCATAATAATGCAGCAATAAAATCCAATTACARCTTGTGGCTGAAGCTGGCTGTGTTCTCCCAGGTGCTTTTATATCAAGTTTTGTTTGCCTTAGAGTTGCTAGTTTATCCTGGGCTTTCTGGTTTGTTGTTGTACTGTCATTATTCAGCCCAAGTCAGTCTGTGTAAAGGCAAGGTCTTTGAAGTTGAGTGAGGRCTTTTTTTCATAAATTCCCTTCAGTTAAAAACTCTGGGAACATGAAGAGTTGCAACTGCATCCTCCTATTGATAAAAGCAGAGAAATTTCTCTGTTGGCTAAATTGCAGTGTGTATTGTTAAGCAATGTATTATTGTAAATATGCAATTTCCTGCTACTGGGAATTCTGACTCACCAGATTCCAAGAGCCTCGTTGATGAAGACAATCAAGGAGACAAGGACTGTTTTGGTTATGAAAATGTTTATTAAATCTCTCCATTACATTATGGCAGTGGAGGAAGGAAGGCTGGAAACTGGTTCATGTAGTCACAAGTTTCCYGGAATGGGCAGCAATTTTAACAGCTCCCATTGCTCACATTTTCTTTTCCTATGGAATATTTTATTTGCCTGTCTTTRTAGCCACCTGCAAGAGCTGCTTCATTCCTGCCAATCTGCAAGTTTTATCTCTGAAACATAAACCCAAGAGGTTTTAATGTGGGAGAACCTCCTGTACATGTAGAAGTGAAGTCCTCACCAGATCTGGGCGCAGCAGTGCTGGGTGTACAGTGTTGAGCTGAMTGGCACACATGGCTGGGGGCTTCTGGTGTACCTCAGGCATGAGAAACACTGTTCCTGGGTACACTGTGAAACTGAAATTATTGGGGGATTTGGAGGAGGAAGGAATGGACATCACCTTACAGGAGGAAACGTGAGGCATAGTTCAGCTGTAGGCATAAACGATTCTCATTGTGAGCACTCTGGGTTTTGCTTTCTGTTGTTACCTTGCAGTCCATCTTTGGCACTTGGGCTGGCCCTTTGGCTCTTAGAGTTTTGCACTTCACGTGGCAGACACATGCCCRTGTTTGGAGTGTAGCAGCCTTTTGTTTGGCTTTGACACTCTGTACCTAAGTGGGCACATTTGTCAGCACGACTGGCCTCTGCCTTGGGAACAGACTGCATGAGTGAAGTGATACTTCACCCTGTGATCCGGCTCCTCCTATTGGTGCCTCCCAGAAATGCTATTTTCTTTGTTTTCTTTTTCTGCATGATCAGCTCAAGCAAAATATTTCCTTCTCCTTCACAGCAGTGCTGGAAAAGCAGGGCGGATGTGACCTTAGATCATTCATTCTGTGGAGCACCATTCCTCTGTTGCCTTGCAAAACAATCGCTCTTATCTTAATTATCTGGGATGTCTCATAGCAGTGCCCATGGCTATTTCAGGCACCAAGTTGTTTTCCATGTAAACCAGATTCTCCCATGCTGTACYTCCCAAGTGTCAACTCGGAAACCTTTTACTCACTCAAGCTTGTTTGCTGAAGCAGAACATTGTCCCAGCAATGAAAATAGGGGGGAAATGAAGAAGGCAATGGGTCATGGCTAAAGGGTGATGGTGGGAAAGATTAACCTGTCAGTAGGGAGCTGTGAGAAGAATGAGGTTATGGCAGGACTGGGAGTTTCCAGCAGCAGTGAGACTCTGACAACATGTATGTCAAATCAGTTACAATTCAAAACTGATGGAGTGTAAAGTTGCCAGGGGGATTTAATAAAGAGAAGAAGTAATGTGAATGAATATATAAAACACACTAACCTTAATGTTCCTCAGTCCATGCTCTTTCATTTCCACTGAGGCTTCTTTGTTTTTCCCTCCTTCTGCATGTTTTCTTTTCTCTCTGGGGAAAAAGAAATCATGATCAAGCTCTCTGTGGCAGTTTCCTAGGGCAGAGCACAGACACCCTTCCGAGTGCTTGGCTTGCATTTGCCAGACCAGCATCCCCAGTTTGCCTTTTGCCAGGTTCTCACCACTCTGCTGTGCACTCTCAGCCTTTCCTGACTGTCTGAATTCAGTRCTGAGCTGCTGCAAGGGCCAGCGACTTGGACTCAGAACCCCCTGTGGTGCTGAGCTGCTTTGTTCTATTGTGTTTTGGGCAGGATACAGAGAGGTATTGGCTTGATTCATTAGTGAGTTCAGGGCTGTAGCTTGTCTCTGCAAACCGAAGAAGAGGCCACAAGGGGACTGGAGGCAGCAGCAAACACACAGAGTGGTTGTTYTGTRTTTTCCTGTTYGGCATGAGAATTTGGTGGGGACTGTGCAAACAAGCCCATCCAATACAGTCTGTGAGGGGTTTAGCAGGTCTGTCCTATTTGYACAGGGCTTGGAAATGACACAATGGCCCTGTTTCAGTGCAGCTGGGGCAGGTCACTCAAACCAAGCATCTATTTGGAGGAACTGTGTAAAGGAGAAGTAAATTSCACTGTCAAATGCAGAGGCAGCCATTGCACAGTGCCTCCCCTGCTTGAGCTGGCACAGCTTGCTCGGAGCTGCCTCCCTTTGCCGTGCTGACCGTGGATTGCATTCTTCTACTCTGTGCTCCTTCTTTCAGGTCACTGATCTCCAAATCATGCCAGAAGACAGCATGGCCCCATTTCTCCTCTGTGCAGGAGCATCACTCTTGCTATCTCTTTGTCGTCTGTGTGCTCTGTCCCTGCCTGCTCCAGCTGCCCTTTCCCTCTCTTGCTCTTGCTGCCTCAGAAGGTCAGTCATCAGTTGGGACCAGGACTGAAACTTGATCGAAGTCCCAATGATAGTTCTTGGTTTCCTGTTGACTCTGGTACATCCTATTGTGACTTACCAGACTGTTAGACCTGATCTTCCTGTCTCAGTGTTGCTGAGAGCTTATTCAAGCTTGGCTCTTTTAATAGCTTCCATCATTTTATTTTGTTATTTTAAAAAGCACCTTGGAGGGGATTTTTTTTTCTTAATTGCTGTTGTTATTGCCAGTGATTTATGCAATCAATTTATGCAAGGCTGGGTCAGGCAGCTCTGGTGCCTGTTCTCCCTGGCTGTCCCCATTCACTACAAGGCATTCTGCAGGAGGAATCAAACAGCAAGAGGGAGTGCAGGGGTCCTGCCAGCTCTGCAGCAGAGTTCAGAGGCTGGGAGCAAGAGATAGCAGCAGTTTACATGCAGCCCTGACTCAGCCCCAGCAGTTACCGACAAGGAAAACTCTCTGTGAGCTCTCAGGTCCAGCAAGGAAAATTCTTGTGAGATCTCACCTCCAGCACTTTGCTTCTGCTTGTCCTTTGCAGCCATGTGAAAGTTACTCTTGAAACAGAGCAAGATGGTGTCTGGCTTGCATTGTTTAACACCTATTTATTYGCTTTTGTTTTGGCCAGTGGAGGGAATTCCCTGGTCCTTACTGAGACATAACCAGTAATACCTGTTAGTTTAAATAAACTGTAACTGGATTCTACTGGACTCTTCCTTTAAAGTTTTTAGCAAATATTCAAACCCTCTTTCCCCTTTAGTATTAAGCTTTCTCCTCCTGCTATAAATAATACACTCAATGACTCTATTCTAAAAGCAGATGGAAAACTGGTTCCCAGCAAGAGGATTGGYTGTGACTGTGTCCATCAGCAGGGCCATTTTGGCAGCTTAACCAGATGACTCTTTAGAGCTGGAGATCAAGCTTTCAGGAATACTGAGCATGGTTGCTCCTCATAGGAAACCAGACACTTCAGAAATGGTTTCCTCTTGATTCTGGGAAAGAATGCGGTTGTTGAAAGAAACTGAACTTCCAGCACGGAAGTTCAGGGTAGGAGAGCCTAGAAACTGGCCAGCTCSTAGGGCCCTTGGCCAGCCCCACAGGCGGGGGCGGATCTGCTCTGCTGGAATTAAAAGCGAACCCCCTTGGCAAGCAGTGCTGTGTTTGGGTTCGCTGAGGCACTGAAGCCAAGCACTGCTGCCATTGGCCTCCTGGACCTTTACACAGTCCCAAAATGTGGGAGCTGTTSGTTACTGACTGTTCTTTGCAAGGCGTCTTCAGGAATTTCTGCCAGRGTTGCACCTACAGGAGCCGGTCCAATGCGACAGGGAAGCCTGTGTGTGCTGGCAGCACCCCGCTGTGGGCTCTCATCCGTAACAGAGTGCGCAGGGATAAGGTTGGCCTCACTTGCTGCTTCTGYTGCTGCCTGGGCTCTCTGCAGTGGGAGAACAGGGAAGAGCTTTGCTCTCTGCTGCTTGTCTTTCTTGGGGAGTGGGAAGGGCATGGGGGGCTTGTCTCTAGCTGTCAGCAGCACTGGGCTGCTCTGTTGATCTGAGTGTGACCATGACCGCATCTAAGCTCTCCCAGAATTTCCTGCAGCTGCCATTATTCCAGCATTTCYCTCCTCTGCCACAACTCTCTGGCCCTGCACGGGGCTCTGTGAGAGGGGGGAGCTGTGCTGCAAAGCAGCTCTGGTTTATGACTGTCTGCTGACAGCAGCAAACTCAAAACAGAGTTTGCTGCAGTTGCCTCCTCCTGGTCTTACTGTGCCGCCGTGTTCAAGAGCCAAGTGTTACAAAGCTGTCTCAGGAGGCACTGAATTCTAACTTTGGCTGGTTCCGATTGCTGATCATGCCCCCAAGCAGAGAGTTCTTCCACATTCTTGCCAGTCTTCCTGAGGAGCTGCCACTCCTCAGGCATTTGGATGTGTTTGGCTCTCCCAAGCAGTACTGGAATTACTGGGTGATGTTTTAGCACTTGAGTCAGCTGCTCCTCAGCCTCACAACTCTCTGCTCAAGAGATCAAGCAAAGCTGAAAATGGGAGATTGGAACTTGTTTACTGAATTCGTGCAATAGCAGGACCAGGTATTCTTCCTATCTCTATGCTCCAATAGAAATTTAAAGGAATAAGCTGGTTGAAGGAGGACAGCTTTCCATGATTGCTCAGCTGATTCAAACATAGATTGTGCTCCYTGAGGTTGCCTTTCTCATTGAGCAGACACTGCTCACGTGTTGCTGGATTTTTCATCTATATGAACCCTCATCACCCCTCTTTAAAGAATCACACAATATCCAAAACCTGGTTTCCCTGAAACCAGGGAAACCTTGGGGTGTAGGTTTTCCTATGGAAAAGAAATAGCAAGGTAAAAGTGGTCGTGCTCTGCTCACTTGCAGCAGCCTTCCAGGCTAGCTGGTTTCTCTGAAGTCTGTTCCTACCTCATGGGTAACTTCTGTCTTCCAGCTGGACCCACAGGCACTGCAGGACAAAGATTGGCARCGCACAGTCATCTCAATGAATGGGGTAAGTGTTGCAAACAGAAATTAGCTCTGCTTCTGTGCCTTCTATAGGCTTTATTTCTTAGCTTTTCATTGCATCATGAAAAAAAAAAAAAAGAAAACTTTCAAAAAGTAACAGCTGTTGTCTTTGGTTCAGGTGGAAGTGAAGCTGTCTGTGAAGTTCACCAGTCGGGAGTTCAGCCTGAAACGGATGCCGTCCCGCAAGCAGACAGGCGTGTTTGGGGTCAAGATCGCTATTGTCACCAAGTGAGCTGATGGGTCATGTTTCTACCCGTTGTGTTTTAGGAAGACAACTGGCCACGGGGTGCACCCGCTTGTGTCCCCCAGAGGGATTTGGCAGTCCARCCTGCTCCACTAGTGTGGTAGTGTAGATGTGGCTGCAGACAGGAGATGCTTTACAATCTCTGAGCTTCATTTTTCCAGAGATAAAAACCATAGTTTTTATCAGCACACAGGCTGTTTACTGACAGTAAACTACTCCTCTGAATTCTGGAAATCCCTCTTTCCCTTGCCTTCTCTGTAGTTAGCTGACATAGTCACAAATTTCCAGAGCCACTAAACAGTGATGTTTCCTTTCCATAATCAGAAATGTTCAAGGTCTTTGGATCCTGTTGTATTATTTTAACCCCTGATCTTTTGTCACGAATCATTTGCCAGCAGAAACCTGTTTGTTCTGTTGTATAGTTTGGGAAGTGTGGTATTTCCTCCCCATAGAATTGCATCAATTTGAAAGCAACAGAGTTGCTGTGTATCCAAGGGCTGTTTGGGAATCCTCAAATTACCTGGGCAGAGCCACAGGCTCCAGGGGCACTGGGAGCAGGAGCTCAAGTGCTCAGGGAAGCTGCAGAACAGCCAAAGCCAGGCTGAGACAGTGAGAAAACGCTCTCCAGTTTAAAAGGAGTTTTTCAGCTCAGTCCTGACTGCCTTCTCTGACTTCCTAACACCCATTTTCTAGAAAAGGTTTGCACAGAGAAATGTTGGGGTGCTTTTAGCTGTCCTGGCTGGCTGGGGAACAGACACTGGAAGCTGGGCTGAACTGAACTCTTCTGTRTGGCTTTCCTCAGGAGAGAGAGGTCAAAGGTGCCGTACATCGTGCGGCAGTGTGTGGARGAGATCGAGCGCCGTGGGATGGAGGAGGTGGGGATCTACCGCGTCTCTGGGGTTGCAACCGACATCCAAGCTTTGAAAGCTGCCTTTGATGTCAGTAAGTATTYGTGTCTGATGTTTTCCTTTGCTCTGAGAGAACCTGCCTGAGCTCCTTGTCAGGTGGCTGTGCTATTTTTAATCTTACATTGCCCAAGAGGCATTAAGAAGTAGAGATTCTCACWCAAGGAAAATAATTCTAACAACTGCTGTCAGTAATAAAAGTTGAAATGCAGATAAATACAGTCAAGTGGGCCTTGTCCAGATCGGGCTGGGGTCACTGGCACAGCAAACTCTGGAAGACTGAAGTTCCCTAGCTTGATGTAAAGCAATGAAGTGTTTGCAGTCATTTGTGCAGTGTTTCTCAGTTGGAAGGTTGCTCATTTAATCTGSAGAAATGTAAACAGGAAAACTCTCAGCTATTTGGGCAGAGACAAAAGATAAACAGACCVAAAGCAAGGAAAAGAAGGAATGCAAGGCCAGCAGTTCCTTTACCCTAGCTCTGCTCTCCCCTCTTTCAGATAACAAGGATGTGTCGGTGATGATGAGCGAGATGGAYGTTAATGCCATTGCAGGCACCCTCAAACTGTACTTCCGGGAGCTGCCAGAACCCCTCTTTACAGATGAGCTGTACCCCAACTTTGCTGAAGGCATYGGTAGGTGCAGCACAAGGAACCCTTGATAACAGAAACTCTTCCACTATGCTCTTAAAGCAACATAAACCCCWTCTTTATAGTGTTGGACAGAAGCCTGGAACAAGCTGTGAGGGGAGTGGAATGGAGCTCAGAACAGAGTGTTAGAATGACATCGCCTTCCCATGAGGCAGAATATGGGTGATTGCCATCCTGTTCTGCAGGCTGCAAAAGCCTGGGTTTCTGAAGGATAGACTCAGGACAGAATGCCAGCCTGACTGCTGGGGCTGTGCATGCTGACTGCTCAGGCTGGCCTCAGGGAAGCCCCCTTTGGAGGGCAGGGGGATGTGTTCCTCATCCTGATGCAGGRCAAATGTTGATGATTGAAAGTCTCAAAGCATTTGAACTGCTTGAGAGAAGAGGATTCTGAATGCATTTGTGAAATAAAGAACGAGATGCTGTGGGGTATTGATATGCACAATATAAATATGAACTCTGACTTTCCAGCCTATGATGATGTAATCACAATCTTTTGGGGACCATTCCTTTTGGCTGGTTTGGGACATGGCTCAGTCAGTCAGTCCCACTCACTGCCTGTGCTGATGTTTTGTTCTCTGTCTTGTAGCACTTTCAGATCCTGTTGCAAARGAGAGCTGTATGTTGAATCTGTTGCTATCACTTCCAGAACCCAACCTTGTGACATTCCTTTTCCTTCTGGACCATTTAAAAAGGTAATATGTGGTTCTTTGAGATATGTATTTAATGTGTAAAGCATCCCTATTTTGAAAAGTGAAGCCTTCTCTTTAAATTCCTGCTGAATCACAGAAATGAAAAAGTATTTGCTGATCTGCTGTGAATGCTCATCAAATAGCTATTGTCTCATACTCATTTAGTGAGGCAGTAAATCCKGAATTCCATTCCCTGCTCATACTGAAAAAGGATTAGAACTGGAGGAAAGGAGTAACAAAAGAGTCAGGGCTTATCTATCGCAAATGCAAATTCCTGCTGCAGTGTCACTGAGGCTGCACCTGGATCTGGAAAGGGTTTTTATAAACCTTTTTATAAACCATGAAGCTTTAGCCATATTTAAGGTCTTGGGAGCCCTGTCTCAGAAGGTGTCTGAAATCGAGTATGATTCATTTTTAAAATTCCAGCACATTGCCTAATTGCAGTTGTCAGTTCCTTTTTTAGTCAAGTCTTTCTGGTTTTGTCTATGTCTTTGTAATATGSTTGTAACTGTGAAAAGTATTTCCATGCATTTGATATTCATGCAATAAGCTGCCTTAATGCTTGCGCAATGTGTTAATTTGTGTAATCATGTTGTACATAGCAGAGACTGTCCCTGGAGATATGAAAGATCATCTTGTGATTGAGATTCTGGATTAAAATCCAGGAAATATGACCTTTTCTTGTGTTTCTGCTGCAGACTTTTCTGCCCTTGGGCAAATTTTTAAAACTTTTTGCCTCAGTTTCTCATTTGTAAAACTCAGATATTTATAAAAGTCTGCCTTGTGCATTGTTTGTTCTCCCAGRGTTGCTGAGAGGGAAAGTGTGAACAAGATGTCCCTGCATAATCTTGCCACTGTCTTTGGACCAACACTGCTCAGACCTTCAGAGAAGGACAGTAAAATCCCCGCGAACCCAACCCAGCCCATCACAATGACTGACAGCTGGTCACTAGAAGTCATGTCCCAGGTAAAATCCTGAATGTGCCATTGCATCTCGTGAAGACACTTCCTACAAAAGCGCAATCCTCTGGCAGGCCTGGCTCAGTCATCCTGCTGGGTTTTCATGGCAGTTTTTTTGAAAAACATAAAACAACTTTTGCCCTCACACAGACATTTTAGACTGTTTGTAGAACTGTTTTCCTTCAGRCAGGTCAGTTGTATCTGTACAAGTACAACTTTTCATGAAGGCATGTCCATGTGTGTGCATCCTGTATGTGTTTGTAGGGAGGTTTTTGGGAAGCTGTGTACCAGCACCATGCTGCTGGCCTGGGATAAAAGAATTGGCAGTGTTTCCACAACGCTCCTCAGCACTAAACCACTGTCACTGATGCACAACAAAATTCTTTGGCCACTGCTGCCTTTGAAGGCAATGCAGAGGATTGGAGCACAGAGCCTGTGTCACCAGGTCCAGGCTGGTTTGAACATTCTCCATTGAACAATGGCAAATTCTAGATAAATTTTTTCACTGCTGTTAYACAGTGTATTAAATACACAGCTGCTAGATGTTCCCAGAGAGAGCTGTATCATCAGCTTTCACATAGCCAGCATGAGAATGAGTTTTTATGGAGCTTTARTATATCTTGTCCTTTCTCTTTCCAGGTTCAAGTTCTTCTGTACTTCCTGCAGCTAGAGACTATCCCTACTCCAGACAGCAAGAGGCAAAGCATTCTCTTTTCCACAGAGGTGTAGGTGCCTGTGGTACCGACAGGACTCAAACTGCTTTTGGTGTAACTCTGTCATCCCTGGGAAAAAGATGACTGATGTTTCCTCAGACTAGCCTGTTCCTGTGCTGGGGAATTCCRGCCCTTGGTGCTTCTGCTGTTTGTTAACCAGAGACAAGCTGGAGAGAATGGAGAGAAGCCTCTCCTTTTGCTGGTAGGACCAGAACTAACCGGAGATGGAGCTGTGCAGAATCTCCACTAGAAGGAGCAATAGACACTTGGACAATGCACCACCAAGTGTGGCGATTGTTCTTGTTGGGAATGTGACGGAAGGTATTCCTCATTTTATGGATTTAATTTATCATAAAGAAACATCAAGATTTCTACTGGACCACTTGATAGGATACCCCTTTTTGCGTGAGGGGGCGTTAAAGGATATATCACAACTGTGTCTTTAATAACTGCTGTTTTTCAAGTACTGTTCTAGGCCACAAAAATAGCATTGCTTTGCAAGAGGAAGGAGAAGAGAAGGGTCTGGGATCTAAAATTCTCTCCACAGAAATTCAAGTCTTGATTTGAATATGGTTCTGAAGAAATCAAACAGTTTTATGTACAACTAGAACTGTTGTCTGGTTAGGGGCTAGGTTTCTTGGCATTTTTTTTTGTTTGTATGTTTTTTTGGCTCACCCACTCCTTCCCATACAAATGCTTGTACACCCCAGGGAAGGAGATGCCCTGCTCTTGCCTGTGTTGCACTTCTGATGGGTTTTGTTGGGTTGAGACAGACTCAACGAAATTACACTATAAATAAATACAGCAAATTAAAGAGAGGCAAGGGAGGATAACAGCCAGTGATTCTGTTGTTTGTTTGTATATAAAAGCAGGGGCAATATTATCCAGGAAGGATCACTAAATTCCTTAGACCCCACCAAACTTAATGAAAATCAAGTGGGAAGACTATTAATTCACAACACTCCAAAGAAAATACGTTATCTCTGCAAAAGTAATTGAAGAATTTGTGCATTAAAAAAAATCAGTGGCTCTAAGTTTAGCTGGCTGCTTACTCCAGACTTTTATCAGAACATCTTTTTTTTGATACTTGAATTTTGGAGGCTTTGTACATTGTTTCTACAAGAGTCTTTTTCTGATAGATACAAGCACTCTGAAAAATGTCAGAATGTACTTTGTGGACAATCTAGCAAGTAGCATGCATTGTGGATTCTCCAGAAATTCCAACTCTGTTTTAAATAAGAGCAGTGGAGAAATTTCTGTGGAACTCCATCGAGCAGTACAAAAGTTCTGGCCAAACACCAATTTTGTATTTCCCTCCCTAAATCAGTTGAAGCTACAGGGTGGAAAGGGCAGCAGTATTTGTCCAGGGAATTGAAACTGCAGAATCTAATTGCTGGTATCCAGAACTCAGCATTCTGGCTCTCAAGCAGTTGTGCCAAACATCCTGGGGGGTGGGAGTGATGCCATTTCCCTAAACTGTTCCAGCCCCTGCTACTCCTACCCAGCTATGCAGCATCCATTTAGTGGCATCTGTCAGTCATTGTCCTGGTGAGAAGAAAAGTACAGCTGGAAGACAAGGGAAGGAATYGGCACAAAAATGGGAGGGAGGGACAGATTTTGAAAGATTGGTAGGGTCAGGTTGTCAACATCATTTGCAGGGAAATATGACACAGAAAGTGACCCCTGTTGTGCTGAATTGTACATTTTCTGATGTGTGACCTGCAAACTCTCAGATAAAAAAAATAGCAAAGGAGTGTTTCAAGCAAATAGAAAAAAATTAAAGGGAAATGATTTTGTAGTCATTGTAATTCTGACTGCTGCAGAATATTAGAAATTACTGTACTGTGAAGTTGCGAAATCAGAAAGGAACAAATATAAATTTCAATTTTGTGAGTATATCAATATTTTGCATGCTTTGTAAGGATTCTTATAGGAATTTAATATTGCTTAGTATCCCTCCCTCCTTAGGTCTGGGAGCAAACCTCTTTGTAATGTAATGTACAATTAGAAATTCCTTCTCTCTTGTATGTATTTCCATGACATTCCAACTTCTGAACCTGCAAAACCGAAAAAAAATGTCCGTAGTAGGAGGTGCTTTTGCGGGGAGGGAGGGAATGAAGGCAAGGAAACTTGAAGGCTTAAGATTTTGATTTTTTAGATTTTTATATTCATTTTTTGCCTGTTTGAAGGTAAAACTTAGTCACAATCCTGAAAAGCATTGACTTGAGCCATGTTGTGCAGAGCAGTAAAACACTCTCTGGGTTTGTTTCTCTGTATTTGTTCTCCCTTTTCCCTGGCAGCTCTACAGCAATCCTTGTATTGAGGCTGCACTCCTGCCTGCTCCCACTCCAGGTGGATGAAGCTGAGGCAGGAGCACTGCTAATGACTTCATGGAAAAAGGAAAAAACCCAAGCTACACCTGGTRTTGGGTGATAGCCTTTTCCTTTGGTGTTTAGAATCTGTGGCTGCTCCTTGCAGTGTTGAAACTGGAAAGCAATACCATAATGACTGTGCCAATTTACTTTTGCCCAACTTTTTTATTTTTATTTATATAGGAATTTAATTTTAATATTAAATTACTGATCTATAGTATGTAACCATGAGAAAATTGCTTTTGCTTTGGTTACTGTGACAGGTTGTTGCTGTCAGTCTCTCATTACAATGCTCAGTTCTAATGTAATGTTATCTAACATGCAGGCATGTGGATCAGGGAAAAAAGTTAATTTAACTTAACCCATTAATTATTTCTGTTAAGTATGAATATGTTTTCCCCAAAGCTGGTAATTTTGGGCTGGAAAAGATAGTAGATCATATTGCTGATGATGAAATGGTGGACTGATTTGAAATAAGAATTGATTTCTTGAATTTCCTTTAATTTTGCAAATAAGTTTTTTCCAATAGTCTTATGTTTTCAGAAATTAGGTATTTCCAAAAGACTTTTATGTTTTTTTTCCCAGGGAGGTTGGTTGGGGCTTTTGTTTGTTTGGAGGCTTTTTTACGTTTTGGGGTTTTTTTTTTTTACACTTAATTTTTTTAACAAGCCTTATTATACTTAAACAAAAAGGAAAATGCAAAACTTGGCTTTAGAGAAGGCCTTCTGATATCTCCTCTTATACATTCCCTTGTGAGTTGTGTCAGAAAACTGAGGTCTTTAATTTTCTATGTTAAAAGGTACAATACAACCAACACAACCGCAAAMCAGGGAAAAGTTACCCTTTTTATGTGCACTGGGAGTTTTTGCTCSTTCAGTTTCTAATGTATTGGAGAGACCTTTCTACAAATGTCACTTGCAGGAACAGGTATATACAATGTTTAAATTTTCAGCWAAGGAAATTCAGGTGATTAGGATAGTCTGTCTCTCCAGTTTAAGGAGGGGAGTAAGCATCAGTTTCCTGGCATTTAGAAACTATCTTAAAATTCTCATGGATTTTTTTAACACTGAGTAGGTTTTAAAGTAAAATTTTAAAATGTTAAGCAAATGAAGGGTAAAGTTTTYGAAGATGGACAAGAAATAACAGTTACTAGCTCAGAGTCAGCTTTGTGTTTGTGTGTRCTTTGTATGGGAGGGAAGTGTTAGAAACCAAACTGAAATACATCCATTCAAATGCTGCTGGTGTTCTTTATTCTTGCACATTTTTAACAAGTTGAGGTAGTAGCTAAGCTATTTCAGGCTGTATTTTAATGCTGCTATTTTTCAGTGTATCAGCTAAGGGCAAAATGCAGCAGTGTGGTGCCTGGCCTTGCCGTGCCCACTGCCCGCCTCGGCTCTGGCCGTCATCACGCACACGYGGAATCGGCCGGCACCGCGTGGAGCCAAATGGCCCCTTGTGGTGCTGGCCATGAGGTGGTGGAACCACAGAGGATATTTATGGGAGGTGCAGGATTTTTACTGTTTATTAGTTTTACCTGTTTTATGGTTGTTCCTGTTAGTTTTCTATGASTTTATTTAAACAAATGGACTGTTCTTTAAGGCAGATGTGGATCTCCAGATTAGTTTGTCATTTGTGTAACACTGGAAGGCATCACAATGTGTTCATTTACCTTAATGTGCCATTCTTTCGAGTGTGTATAAAATGTAAACAGACTGATGTGGTTTTAAAAAAGTTTAAAGTATGATGGCAAAACCCCAACTTTCTCTGAATCCTCACTAGGTAATCCTTTTGTTTCAGTGTTTGGTCACCTACTGGGATAACTTTATCAGATGTGGCATTCTTCTTATGGAAAATTTTAGCATAAAATGGGAAATGTTTTAAGAAAAATACTCGCCCTTTCTCTTTTTACTTTAATTCAAGATGACAGGGACTTGGAATAATGGAAGACCAATACATTTCTGCAGCATCTTGAAGGGGATATGCTTCTTTTCCTTAAAGAAGAAAAATCTGAAAGGGCAAATCTTAGATACAAYGAAATTAATCAAATTCTTGTAGATAGTCACTTGTTTATGCCATCTTAAATTTCTGCTCCAGGGATGTTTCTCYTTGTAGACTTTGCTAACATTGTCCTACTACTGTTAGTGAAAAATAAATGTGTTGCCATTCCCTTCCTTTAACACAGGGCCTGTGCAACTGAGATACTGGAGCCATGGACTAGTATTAGCAATTCTTCATTCTGAACTAGGATGAAATAAATGTTCACATATGTTCTTTGAACTTCCTGATTGAATAGAATTAAACCCATGGATTGCCCTTAAAATCAACAGAAGATGTAAAAGAAGCACTTACAGTTTAATAGACTGCTCCCTAACAATCTTTAGGGAATTAAACCAACACAAATGGAAAAGGGAAGCATAATTAGGAATCGCTCATGTCACGTTGCTTGGGACTAGAATGAGGTTYTCATTTTGAATTACAGAAGGTGGCTGATGCCCTAGATAACTGAGCAAAGGCTGTCTTGCCAGTAAATAAACACGAATATGGGAATGCCAGGAATTTAGCTACAGCAGCCTCACAGTTCTGATATGCTGCAACCCCTCTTTCTACTGAACATTCACAGTTCACTGCTAAGAAAGCAAAGCTTATCACTTGCTCTCTATCTTTTCCCCCTGTGGCAGCAGTCATAGTGCCTGTATGTTAATGCAGGTGAACCACCAACACAAAAAAGTAAAAAGYTCCTAGAACCACAAAGTTGGACTATTGTTTAAGCTAAAAGTCTGGTTTTGGACTGCAAAGATAAAATGTCACAACACCTGTAATGACAAAATGGTTGAGGCAGTAGGACCAAAGTAAACCTGAGTGAATGTGTTGTCCTTATTCTCCTCCATCCATGACTGTATCATTAGATTTTTGCCCCTCAGGTCAAGCAAATTCATAAATGTTATTGTCAAGAATTAGAAAATTATTAAATGACCTAGTTTGCCTCCAYTGTTGATTCTCTTTGTGTTACCATCTTACAGTGACAATTGCTGGAGACCACTGAAAAGCATGCAGTGGTTTYTACATAATTTTTTTCCTGCTGCCATGTTTTACCTCATAGTAAGACAGACCCCTCCTTTTCYAACAGAACCACTTCACATCATTCTGCACTGTAGCTACTACCACATTGAGAGGTTCAGTTTGTAGCAGTTCTACAGAGCAGAGCTCTGGAGATAATTAAAATGTTTCCAGGCTTCTTGTGTAGAATGCACCAGGTACTGCTGAAGTTCTGGGCTCATGCAGAGCTGTGTTGCGAGCTAAGTAAAATTCTATTATTTACAGCTGTTCAAGCATATTTGGGAATTAATAGGATTACAGTGTGCCCAAGCCTTGCAGAAGTGTTTGCTCTACTGCTTTGTCTTAATYGCAGTCATGTTCAAATCCTCTTGTCAAAAATGGTTCATCAGAATAGAGAAAATTGTATTTTCCGCTCGAGCTTTTGCTTGTGTRACTGCTGTGTTCTGTTCCCCAGTGGTAGGATTTTCTGAGAATCTGAGACATTCTACAGATGAGCTTTTTCTCTAATCTGCAGAATGATTTATACCACACGGCATTTTATATCCCTGTGGATGTACAAAAGGGCAGGCTTGTGTACAAAACAGCTTCCTGCCTGGAAGGAGAGACAGTAGCTTCCTGGAGATGACCCCAGGCGAGGGTCACAGCGAGTCCAGCCCAGCAGTGCACAGGGGCCTTGCTGCTGCTTGGGTGCTCCCATCTCCCCTGGGGCAGTTGGATGAGGCTCAGAAGGCAGTTGGGAGTTCCTTCTTACTGCACTCAACCATGATCAAATGCTGCTCTAGAGTAGCTCAAACTTCCTTCATTTTAGTCCCATTTTGGGAAAAACAGGGACTGTGCTGATTTGGGATTATATAAATAGCTGCAAACCAATCCGTATCTAAAACCTATTTAATATATGGTAGGTGGTAATGTAAAAGCTGCCATGGCAAGGTCATTTCTCCACAACACCCTCTTCTACTCCCTGCCTCCTTTACTACTTCTCACAGCCTAAAAGAAATCTTGTCTTGGGTTTCACAGTCAAATACAAAACTTCCAGAATCCTGATAAAATTTAGCTATGCGGGGACTGATGTTTCATGAGTACYAAAAGTGATTACCAAGGTGGCAAAAAGAGGGTAAGGAATAACTGTGTTGGGATAACTGAAAAGCATCATGATGAAATGGTAAATTTRAAAATTATCTCACAGCAGGACACTGATATGTTGTCCTTCCTGTGTCTGTCCAGCAAAAAAAAAAAAAMCAAAACTCAGCCTTCTCTTGCCTATGTAAGTTGTGTAGTTTGTTCTTATCACTAGTATTATAAGTGTTTATAATCCATGAAGAATTCCAAGGAAAGGAGTTAAGACTATTTATTTAAATATAAATACAATTAAATTATATAATTAGTCCTAAATTATCAGGTGTAGAAAAAAACTTGTTATTGTTTGGATAATTTTGGGTTTCATCAGAGCTAATATTGTTGGCATTATTTTAAACACTACCATGTTAGGGAGTCAGTTTTTGACATTTTATCCTGCTGTTGCTAGTGCTTCAGTATCTCATAGTGCTCTGTTTTGGGGAAAGAAAACTTAATCCTAATAATTTAATACTGAAAGGTGTCAAAACCATACTGCTAAACATCTCTCACTTTAGGCCCAAAGAGAAGGGATGAGGGAAAGGGAAAAATGGTCATTCTGGATACTTTTTTTTAACTTTCTGAGAAAAGTGGTATGGAAAAGGGATCCAAAAACTGTATTTGGGGGGAAAATGTCTAAAGGCATTTGTAGCCTTTCTTTGTACACAATGTTAAATAAAATCTCCTGTATCTAYGTTGTCAGGTTCTTTTGGTCTTATTTAAATGAAAGTGGGCCTACATTACACTGAATGTGTGAATTGCATTCAGCCGAGTTTGCTGGAGGTATGGAATTTAACACTTATTTAAAAATAAAAGCCGTTTCTTGGTTTACAAGGTAAAAGCTATATCACTTAAAATCTAGAGGTTAGTACAGGGAACTGAAGTAAAACAACTTTAATGGGTGGAAATAGTTTACATGCAAAATAGAGAAGTAGCTGAGCAACCCAGTCCATGTTCACATCTTATGAWTCCTTTTGTAGGCACTCTGCATCAAAACCCAGCCTATTTCAGACCTTATCAACTTTACATTTGTGTGCAGAGCACTTGAACCACGGTTAGTATTTGCTAAGAAATCAGCTCTGACCTCCATTTCTTCAAACGTTGCATGAAATTAGTGGGATTTTGTAGGAATCAGTGTGGAAACTGAATCAGTTATTTAAATCAAGTTAACCTGGTGCTTTATTTAAGTATTGTTTAAATTCTTAGTGTAATTAAAGTACATTTATGTTTGAATATAGTCCAAATTTAATATACAGAAACCTTTCTACAATAAAAAGATGCCYGCTTGAAAGCTCTCTAGCTGATTTCATTAAGTGTGGATGACAAAGATTACAGGTSTCCATTGCAATGTTGGAAATAGATAAAATGTAACTGGCTGCAGTGTTTAAAACTACACTGCCTATCATGTTTACCCCGATACTGGGCAAAGAAGGAGAAACTCAGTGACTCTTATTAATATATCCTACCAGTGGTGTGGCTGTATAATATAAAATCATTTTCCAATAGCTTCAATGTAGAATTCTTCTGCCCCATGATTCTCCCTCTCCCGGAAAGCGAATCCTTGTAGTGCAACCCCATGGAACAGCRTTAGGGTGCCCCTGGTTGAGCCTGGAAGGGGTCGTGTCCTGCACCAGGCACTCTGTACCCACAGCCACACTCCTACCTTGTCCAGCTCTCTGTTGACTGCCAGCCTGGAGCTTCTCAGCCACTTTTCCTGGGTGCTTTTCCCCGACTGAAGGCCCCAGGTGAGCAATGATGCCCCAGACTYGAGGTAAGCCATGGCATGCAGGTCTGTGCAAAGCAGCTAGCACGCACCTGCAGCATCTGGAATGAGAGGGAGTGAATGAAACCTAAGGCTGGAGCAGGATGAGAAGGAACATGAGTATAATAACCATGGTTGTTYGGTGCAAATTGCTCCACCTGAGCAGGCGTCTTTCCATTTTCCAGACAGCCCTGAGGCTTGGACAGGCTGCCCTGGGGCAGCAGCTCCCCTGAGGGCTGTGGGATACAGCTGTCAGTGTGAGGCAGAATCAGCCGTCCCTGCCTGACTCCGGAGAGGCATTTGTCTGCTCTTTGTTAGAAGCCTCCAGTTATGGAGATTCTGTAATCCTCTGGGGCAATCTAACCCAGAACATAACCACAATAAGAAAGCTTTTCTAGCAGACAGCTGAACCACTCTCGCACATGTTACAGCRCATAATACTGCAATTTTACACTTTTTTTCAGTGACCTTTTAAGTTCCAGAACCAAGATCCAAGGCATATGCACTGTCAGCTAGCAGCTTGTTCATTAATTCACTGAGCTGAGTGACTGCTTCCTGCTGGAAAATAGAAAGCTGAGCCCTTTGTGGGCTACCGTGAGAAATRCATTGTACAAAACAAGTGCAGACATTTTTCTTATCCTTAAAACAGAAGTAGTGCGTTGAAATGCCATTTTTTAGCTGATAAATAACTCAAACACCAAATCAAAGGTAGAAACACAGAACATTTTGCTGAAGATACAATGGATCAGAAAATCTGGCATAATGACACTCGTCATACTGTAAGAAATTACTGTTAAAAACATCAGGATTATCACTTAAAGCATAAAGGAGAATTTTATTGTCAAACATTTACACAGTGTCTGTGCAGCAGCCTTCCATGGGAATCYCCAGAAGGTAGGAACAGGCAGAGTGACACAGAAATGGACAGGGAAGGACATCTCAATTAAATGACTGACTTTCTAAAACAGATAAGCAGAAAAATTCCCACCATATAAATCAAACTGTGTTGCAATATCTGGCAGCATACGTCATGTCAGTTTTAAAAGGAATTCTAAGTTAATAGAGATATCATTTACTTTGATTTACAATATTAAAACTTTAACTTCACCAAAGATAAGTAGGGGACCGCAAATCATACTTGGTCTACCGGTCTGCAGCCTACAAATTCCATATTYCTGTGAATTCTATTCCTACAAATTCTAGGAAGGAATGTACCTCAAGGGAGAGCCTGTAACTTAGTCTGACACTGAAATGTTTCTTTTGCTGAAACAGCTGAGTTGCTATTGGGAGAGATGCTTTACCCTAAACAGAGGGGAAAGTTTTACAGGGATGTGTCAAATCAGCACATTTTCTTCATTACTGTGTTCACAGCATTTCCCAGCCAGTGCCTGTAAATACAAGCTCTGCTATACCTCCCACCAAAGCACCCACGCTGCAATTTGSGTTTATTAACTGCAGTTGCTTGTTATTCCTGACAAGTCAAACAGCCTGCWCAGTGATGGGCTACACAGCTGAGCTTAGTGTAGTGCATTTGATGGGAGCTCACACTCTTTAAACTTGTGCGCACACACAGGTTCCTGTAACCTTAGAAGACAAAACTAYTTCCYACCACGATATGCTGGTTTTGRTTGGAGTAGAGTTAATTTTCTTCAWGGTGGCTAGTAKGGGCTATGTTTTGGGCTTGTGCTGAGCAGAATGAAGAAAACACTAGTCCAGTTAAGCCACGAAACACGTTTAAACCTCTACTTCTCACTCGAATGAAAAGCTACAATTATAGTTCTAGACTGTAAGACTTGTTTAAGGAGACCCACAGCCCTCTCACTCATGCATATGTTATCTGCCTTGTGAGTGCCAGAGCTTAAAATATGCTCCCCMCAAAATCCCCAAATTACTGATTTTTTCACCAGTCYCAGAGGSGGRCCCTGARCSGCGGCCRTTGCCGCCCTCCCACCCACAGACKGGYAACGAAGCTGGGAARGGTCTGGAGCYCAGGTCTGATGAGGAGCTGCTGAGGGAGCTCAGGGGGGCTTATCCTGGAGAAGMAGAGGCTCAGGGRSTTGTGGTTCTCCACAGCTCCCTGACAGGCGGGTGCAGCCGTGAGGGATCGAGCTGTATGCCCAGGGAACAGCGGACAGGGTGAGAGGAAACGGCATCAAGCTGCGCCCAGGAGAGGTGCAGGTTGGACATGAGGAATAATTTCACCACAGAAGAGGTGATGATACATYGGAACGGACTGCCCAGGGAGGTGATGGAGTCWCCRTCCCAGGAGGTGTTTAAGAAAAGACTGSGTGTGGCGTTCAATASCACGTTCTAGGTGMCACGGTGGTGCTGGGTCACAGCTCGGCCTCGACCGTCTCAGAGCCTTTTCCTACCGAACTGATGCCGGCATCCCGCGGTTCTGGGATTGGGGCGCGGAGCGGCCCCGCCCTGAGGGAGGTGAGGGGAGYTGAGGTGCCGCGCCGCGCACGCGCCGCCCGTGGCCGCGCCCCGCCCTTTCCCCTCACGGCCGCGGGGCGGGCTCGCGGGGGCGCGTGCGCGGTGCCGCCAGGGGGCGGGGCGGAGGCGGGCGGAGGGGTCCCTGCCGTGCGCGCGCCCCTCCGCGCCCCCCGCCTCCCGCCGGCCCGGCCCGCGCGGCGCCCCCGGACCCGGGGCTGCGAAGCAGCGGGAAGGAGGCGGCGGCTGCCCCGGTAAGCGCCGAGCACCGGCGGGCACAGCCCGGCCTCGACCCCCGCCCGCCCGCCGGAGGGTCGCCCGCGGTCGCGCAGGCTCCGGCAGGGCCTGTGTCCCGCGCCCCGGCCGCAGCACCTCACGGCCGCGGGGAGCCCCTGGCTCGGCCCCTCCTCACCGCCGCCCCCCGAGGGGCCGCTCTGTCACCCGCGGCGGTGACACCGCCCCGCGCCCGCCTCGGGTCCCCCCGCGCCTCAGGGGCCGTCCGCGGCACCCTCCGCCCGCGCTGCCGCGTCCTGCCTGTCACCCATCTTGCGATGTCCCTGGGAGCGCCGCGGGGCACGGGCAGGCTCTGAGGGAACGGGGCGGCCGCCGGCTCCGGCTGGCGGGGAGGCGCAGCCTGGCCGCGTTTGCATCCCGCGRTAGAATCATTCGCTTCACGCTGCTGGCTCATGTCTGTGAGAGGGATGCTGGGTGTGTGTGGAGCTCCCTGAGGAGTAACGCGGTGTGCCCGTGTTCAGCACCTTTCTAGCTGGATTTTGGTGTGGTTGGGAACACCTTTGCCTGGATTCTGGTCTCCCGCTTCTCTGGAGCGCGGTTTTTCTGCCTTTTTGTAGCTGAAAGAACCTCTTAAGTTCCAGTTTCGTGCCKGCTGTCTGCCATCCTGTGTTTCACAGTATTCCAGCTTCCACGTCTGTCATGACCTGGTATTACCAGGGATGTAGGAACAATTTCCTATAGCTGGGCCAGAACCAATCACCAGCCTGTTCTGAGAGGTTCTGTACGCTGTGTCCTCAGAGAGAAACAGTGCAGTGCTGATGCTCAGCAAACTGTACCCTTCTCTCTCACAACAGCCCCTCGCCGTCTGTGATTGCATRAAGTGTCTGTCTGTGCTGGGATCTGGAAAACACAGCTCTCTTGTAGCAGAAAATGCGTCATGTAAGTGATGCCGCAGGGTGGAAAAAGCTCTAAGGAGCTATGGATTCTGTGGAAGGGCATATTCTGTGCAAGCTCTGCTCACCCTAAAAGCAAACATAAACCTTCTGGAGCTGCTTCATGCTTTATTAATGTTGTGGACTTTGGCTGCTGAAAGATAGGCAAATTAAAGCCAGTGGCTGCTTTTAACACTGTGGATCACAATATAGTGCTGCAGTAGCTCAGAAGTACAGTTTCTTCTCTGTCTCCAGCCTAGCTGAGTGTTGTTAGGTAGTTGCTAACAAAAATGAAAAGAGAAGGTCATTGTAAATAGTCTGAGATTAAAACTGGGAAACTGAGATGGGAATAGTTCTCATGTTTCTTGTAACACTGCCACTTCACTTTCAGCTAATGGAAAAATCAGATTCCAGGCTGGTAAACTAGGTGAAGTAAGGAAAAAAMCCTTTATTTTTTAGGTGTTTTTGTATGGCTGAAGATACAAGTCTGTTTATTTCTTTATTGAATGTGATACAGAATTTGGAACAAAATATCTCAAATATTTTAAATGTAATTTTCCATTTCTGYCAGATAAAGGGCATCTAGTTAAAAAATGCAGCCCACATTTTCCCAATTACTTTGTCTGCTCAATCTGATTGTTGACATGTGTTTTAGTGTAATCATTAGTAAAGATCTGTCTTCCCTGGATTATTTTTTTAAAATCTGATGGTGGTAGGACATCAAAATGGGAAAATCCCGTGCAGGGATTTCCAGGTGCCTGGAATGGATTGTACCTTCTGTTGTATTTTGTAGTTCTGGGGTATTTTCTCTCTCCCTCTGTGCTCTAGGGCAGTGTTATCTCTGTTGCCTTCCAGGTATCTGCCAAAGGTGTCTTCTGCATCAGGTTTGAGC